GTCGGATGCGAGTGGGAATCCTCGCCCTCATGTTGCTCCTTGTCTGCCTCATGCTCCTGAGGAGCCTCCTGATGCAGTTGACGTGCCTGTACCAGACAGCGATGTGGACACAGATATCGATGATGAAGATCTGTTCTGGGGTTTTGTCTTCATGGAGAAAGCTTCTCCGTCCGCAGCTCACGTATATTTTGGCGGCCAAATTCCAGCTGTTGAGCTCGCGTCCGAAGACATCGAGGGGCCTATCAGCATTGAGTTCTCTCGGAGACAAGCCTGGCGGCTGGGGCTCGCTCCGGACAAGATCGCCAAGGGTCAAGTATTGGTGATGAATATATTCAAGACCCAGGCTTCGCCAGTCATCGAGCGTGATCTTAACAACCTGTCTGCGGCAGAGATTAGGCAACATCATGATCTGGTGGTTGCAGCAAAGTTGAAGGAGCTGAAGCGTTGGGTTTCTCGTGGCGTCGTAGAGCGTATGCCCAAGAAGGATGCTGATAATCGAATCGACTCTCGCTGGGTCATCAAGTGGAAGATCATCGAGGGCAGCCGCGACGTGAAGGGGCGCTTGACCGTGCGGGGCTTCAAAGATCGACAGAAGAACGAGAAGGATCGCATGAGGACCGCCGCGGGAACTGCCTCCCGTTGGGGGCAGAGGGTGATATGCTCCATCGCGGCTCAGCATGGCTGGACTCTATGGTCGCTCGACGTCTCGATGGCGTTCTTGCGTGGCAAGACGTTCGAGGAGCTAGCTGAAAGGTTCGGTTTCAAGATGAGGAGCTTGCAGTTTGATCTTCCCCCTGATGGTGCAGCTCTGCTGAAGCAGATTGAGGGTTTCGAGGACTTCAATGAGGTTACGGAAACCCTGAACATGAAGAAGCCAGGTTTCGGTACGAATGACGCTCCGTGGGCCTGGCAAGTGGATTTGTCGGACACGCTCAGGGAGTTGGGTTTCTTCCCAACCGAAGCTGACCGGCAGTTGTGGTTGATGTTTGACAAGGCATTGCTGGTCGCAGTTCTTGGTACGCATGTGGATGACTTGAAAGGTGCTTGCAGTGATGAGATGCGTGAGTGGATATTCGCTAAATTTCGTGAGAAGTACGAAGACGTGACGGTGAATCTGGCTCCGTTCGAATGTGTAGGCATTCAACATTCTCAGGATGAGGTGAGCAAAGCCATCACGATTGACCAGAATCACTACGTCTCCCAACTTCGTCCGATCAGCAGCGCGCTACTTACTGGCAAGTCGGATGAAGAATTGGTGGATTGTACGCTGCAGGGCCTGTACTGGAGTCTTCTTGGAGGAGTAGCGTGGCTCACCCTCACGCGTGCTGATATCGCTTTATTCGTCGGTCGTTTTCAGAGGCACAGTCAGAAAGTCACGGTTGGTGATATCAAAGGTCTCAATACTCTTCTGAAGTGGATCAAGAGGAAGCCTTTCAGCATCAAGTATGCGCGGTTGGAACCGCCTCTGTGTCTCTGTGTGATAGCAGACTCTGCTTATCGTGCTGATGATGCTGACTGTCTAGCTGTGCGTGCTGCCATCTTAGTACTCATTGAGCTTCGAGATGGTATTCCTGGTGGACTGATGCATGTCATTGATTACTATAGTCGGAAGCAGCCGAGAGTCACTCGCAGTACGTTTGGAGCCGAGTTGACCAGCCAGTTGGAGGCTTGTGAGCTCGGCATGCTGCACCGCGGTTTCTGGCATCAAGTTCTGACGGGGTCCCGTGGTGCGAAGGAGTTGCATGATGCGGTGAACTCGAATAAGATAGATATGAGTCTGTACTTAGTTGGTGACGCTCACGCCGTGTTTGCTGCTATCACTGCTGAGGAGATTGCTATGCCCAACGATCGCAGCCAACTGTATGCGGTACGAGCCATGCGTGATCGACTTGACTGTGGCTCGTTAACTGGATTGCTGCGCTGCGATACGAGAGATATGCTGTGTGATGCTCTTACCAAGGGGGCAGTTGCTCGAGGTGCTATTGTTGATGCGTTCGGCACTGGACAGTGGCGGATGATGATCAAGGACCAGGTTCATATCTGGCCGAATGTTTCGTCTGCTGCTTCATTTACCATTGTGCGTTGTTGATGAGGGATTTCTCTTTTGTCATAATTATCTTTTGTGAGCCTAGCCGCGTGGACACATGTGCGGTGGGCTTCACAGTGAGTGCTGCAGTGCGCTGTTGCCTGTGTAGGCTTGTCAGCTTGCCTCTTCGAGGTCGGCTGAAGTCTGTGTGGTCCGGCCTGGACTACTAAGTTGATTTTGGGGTGATGCTGTGATTGCTCGTGGACGACCGCTCTTGTATCACGTCTGCGAGCATGGTGCTTCTCCGACGATACTTGCGAGTTGGAGATGGTGCCAGAGTCAAAGTGTATAAGCAGCGTCCCCCTCGAGCCTCTCCGTTCCGTTGCCGCCTGTGCTCAAGGCGGCCAGCCAGTGCTTCTTTTCTCGTACTGATGAGGATATTGGCGCCGCTGCGCCCGGTGGAAAAGGTGATTCTCCTTGTAGCTACTGCGTGGCTGACGCCGATCCGCTCATTCGACCAAGGAACCCTTCGATAAGGAACCCAGGGTCTGGAAACCAGTGCAACTCCAATCGTGGATCGGCCATGGGTGTCACCGCCGCCCTCACCAGATAAGGAGCCAGGGTGATACGGAACCCTCCAGGGTCTGAAGCCTCCTGGGACTATTCCTGAACAAACGCCTCCACCGTGATTTGCTCTTCGGAGGACGCGCAACGGGGGGTCGACCGATCGGGGCAGCGAGGGCTGCAGAAAAGGGGCCCTGCAGGGCCCCTCAAGGGGCCCTTTTCGGGCCCCAGGGGGGGGCCCTGGGGCCCGAACAGGGCACTTCTCAACCCCCTCCTGATTGATCGGCCCCCATTAATTCGCGCCCACGCTCCCCTCACGCTGGCCACGGTGCTGCCTCGGGCTGCGCGTGCTGCTGTTGCTGCTGCCCCGCGCGGTGCCGATGCCGACGCCCTTCGCTTCGGGTTCGCCTCCTTGAGCCTCCTGGGGGGACCTCGTGGCCGCGTCCAGGGCTCAGGATGGGCCTGGCCAGGGCTGCTGGTGGTGTATTGCTTGGAGCTCTCCCAGGCCGTGTTCGCCGGGGAATCCCGGCCAGGAGGCGCCTCGGGGCAGGGCCGGGGAGGACACGGCAGGCACATCGAGGGAGGCATCGGCCTGCCAGCACATGCCTTGCGGCTGCTGGTCCTCCCCCGGTGGGCCCCAGGGGACTCGCAGGAGCTCCAGGACACCTGGGCGCCCAGGAATATCGACGAGTCATGCGCCCCAGGATTTCTCATGGAGGAGGAGGAGGAGGAGGAGGAGGAAGAGGAGGAGGAGTAAGAGGAAGAGGAGGAGGAGTAAGAGGAGGAGGAGGAGGAGGAGGAGGAGGAGGAGGAGGAGGAGGAGGAGGAGGAGGAGGAGGAGGAGGAGGGTGTCACATCGTACCTGGCTGGTGCAGACACGCAGAACCCCGCGCCTGCAGCACAGGTGAGAGTGGGGGGGGGGGGCGGCTGCAGGGGCAAAGAGGCGCCGCCCGCCGTGCCGTGCCCCAAGATGCTGCCCCCGGGCATTGCCCCCCCCAGGTGCTGCCCCCAAGCATTGCCCCCCAAGTATTCCCAGACATCGGGCGTCTCGAAAAAATCGAGACAGAGGTTTTGCATAGTTTTTGGCCTCTCGGGGCCCTCGCTGGGCCTCGGGACCGTCAAAAAACGACTCGGGATGGAAAACCGGTCCCGGGGAAGTGGTCGGGAGGTCGGGGGCCCGCGTCTCGAAAAAATCGAGACGTCGGATGTCTGGGTTGCCAGCATGTGCACATTGCTCATGTCCAACTATTCGCAGGCTCTTCGATTTTTGGGGGGCCGAGGCCCTTTCATTTCTGATTGCCGTATCCTGGGCCTCTTCCTGGCCACTCGGGGGCCAGGAACAACTCGAAAGGCGCACATTTAGAAATGAGCGCGATCAGAAATGAACGACGTGTGGTGCCCCCCAAGTGTTGCCAGCATGTACTGGCCCCAAGTAGTGCACCACGTCTGTTGCCGCCCAGTGCCGCCTCCACGAACTGCCCCCAAGTATCCTCCCATGTAGTGTCAAGTCGGGCTTTTCCCTCTACAGAAGGAACATTCGAAGATAGTCAAAAAATGATCTGGGGACGATTCTAAGACTATTTGTGGCTATCTTGGGGCATTTCCTGGGGCATTTATATTGTTCGTCCAAAATCCGCCTGTAAGGGGGACAGGCCCGACCTAAATGTCGTGCCCCCGGTTCTCGTCTCCAGGGGCGGAGCCCTCCGTCCAGCCGTGCGCGCAGGGAAGAAGCAAGGCCGCTCGCGCCCCCTCACAGATCTTCCTGCTCCCCCAGAGAGATCGAAACCTTGGTATCGCTCGGACTTGTGCATTTTTTCTCGGGGAGGACCATCGAGGAGCATCTTTGATCATTCAGCGAAACATGCCCGCACGAGATCGCAAAATGCACGGGGGCATGGACGCCCGAGCGATGGCGAGAGACAAGCAATAGCTGCACCGGCCTCGGCTTTCAGAGGTCCGCGCGGATCTCTGGGATCGGCGCTGGACCCCCCCTCCCTGACTCCAGATCCGCCCTATTTGGCTTATTTTCCAACGTAGAATTGCGTCGGAAATCCACCTATAAGAAGCCGAAAAAGTAGGGCGGAAATTTCTGCACCCAACATAACATAGGGCGGAAATCCACAGAAGTAGGGCGGAAACAGCAACAGAAAAGTAGGGCGGAAATTGGCATCAGCGGGGTTTGAAAAGTAAGGCGGAAATTCCAAGCCCTACTTGCGAATTTCCCCAAAGTAGGGCGGATCCGGAGTCAGGGTTCCCCACACCCGGGAACGGCGCCTCCTGCGCCACCCCCAGCGCGCTTCGGGCGCCCGGGCAGGGGTGTGGGCTAAGGGGATACGGCGCGGACCCAGGCAAGTTGCGCGGACCTCCGCAAGCTTCTATGCTCGTGCCTTCTCGTTGGTCCGTGCTGCAGGAGGCGAAGAAGGCAGCCGTGGAGGCGCTGGAGGCGGCCCTGGCGGAGAGCGGGAGGGAGCTGGAGGATGCCAGGGAGGCGGTCGTGGGCGCGCTGGCGGCAGCGTCGAGCCGGCCACGGTCCGTGCCTCCCGGCAGGCGGCGCACGAACCCGGAAGACAAGCAGGCGACCATTCTGGCGCTGCGGGCAGCTTTGGGCGTGGACGACGAGGAGCTGGAGGCTGCGAACCCTGAGATCCTGGCGACTCCATCTTGTTCGAACCCGGCGTGTTCGCACCGCGTCGGGCCCCAGGGCCCTCGCAGATCGATCCGGCTCGAACAATGGCGCAGAAGGATGGGGTCTAGGGCTCCAGGCGCGATTTTTCACGGCGTCTTAATTTTTTGAGACGCAGGATCTCCGGGAAGCAGGAGGCCAGGGACGCGTCTCACGAACCCGTGTCTCCCAAGCAGTCTCAGCCTGGTGCTTCCGAGCCGTCAAAGGAGCTGGAGGAGGCAAAGCAGGCGGCCATGGAGGCGCTCGAGACAGCCTTGAGCCAGGAGGACCTTGAACTGATGGACGCCAAGCAGACAGCTGTCGAGGCACTCGCGGCGGCCATGAATCCTAAGCAGGCCCCGACGGCCCCGCCAAGCGAGGTCGAACAAGAGAAGAGTCCGGAGGAGGCGAAGCAGGCCGCACCAGCCCCGCCCACTGAGGTCGAGCAAGAGAAGAGTCCAGAGGAGGCGAAGCAGACAGCCCTCGAGGCATTACAGGCAGCCTTGAACGTGGAGGCTCCTGGAGAGGAGCGGGACGCCAAGCAGAAGACCACCGAGGCATTGGTGGCAGCCTTGAACCTCAAGCAGACTCCGCCTGGCGCCTTGAGCGTCGAGCAGACCGCGCCCAGCGAGGTCGAGCAAGAGAAGAGTCCAGAGGCGGCGAAGCAGACAGCCCTCGAGGCATTACAGGCAGCCTTGAACGTGGAGGCTCCTGGAGAGGAGCGGGACGCCAAGCAGAAGACCACCGAGGCATTGGTGGCAGCCTTGAACCTCAAGCAGACTCCGCCTGGCGATGTCGAGCGAGAGAAGGGTCCAGAGGAATCGACGCAGACAGCATCGGAGGCACAGCAAGCAGCAACACGTGATGACTCGTTGAACCTCAAGCAGGGTGCGCTTGGTGGGGGTGAGAAAAACAAGAGTTCGTCGGAAGGTGCAAAGCGGATGGCCGCGTCCGAGGAGGGGCAGGAAGGCAAGCAGAAGGGAGGCGAGGAAGTGGAGGAAGCCTTGAGCGTCGAGCAGACCGCGCCCAGCGAGGTCGAGCAAGAGAAGAGTCCAGAGGAGGCGAAGCAGGCAGCCCTCGAGGCATTACAGGCAGCCTTGAACGTGGAGGCTCCTGGAGAGGAGCGGGACGCCAAGCAGACGACCACCGAGGCATTGGTGGCAGCCTTGAACCTCAAGCAGACTCCGCCTGGCACCTTGAGCGTCGAGCAGACCGCGCCCAGCGAGGTCGAGCAAGAGAGGAGTCCAGAGGAGGCGAAGCAGACAGCCCTCGAGGCATTACAGGCAGCCTTGAACGTGGAGGCTCCTGGAGAGGAGCGGGACGCCAAGCAGAAGACCACCGAGGCATTGGTGGCAGCCTTGAACCTCAAGCAGACTCCGCCTGGCGATGTCGAGCGAGAGAAGGGTCCAGAGGAATCGACGCAGACAGCATCGAGGGCACAGCAAGCAGCAACACGCGATGACTCGTTGAACCTCAAGCAGGATGCGCTTGGTGGGGGTGAGAAAAACAAGAGTTCGTCGGAAGGTGCAAAGCGGATGGCCGCGTCCGAGGAGGTGCAGGAAGGCAAGCAGAAGGGAGGCGAGGAAGTGGAGGAAGCCTTGAGCGTCGAGCAGACCGCGCCCAGCGAGGTCGAGCAAGAGAAGAGTCCAGAGGAGGCGAAGCAGACAGCCCTCGAGGCATTACAGGCAGCCTTGAACGTGGAGGCTCCTGGAGAGGAGCGGGACGCCAAGCAGAAGACCACCGAGGCATTGGTGGCAGCCTTGAACCTCAAGCAGACTCCGCCTGGCGATGTCGAGCGAGAGAAGGGTCCAGAGGAATCGACGCAGACAGCATCGGAGGCACCGAAGGCAGCCTCGAACCTCGAGCAGACGACGCCTGAGGAGATGCTTATTGTCCGGCAGAAGGCCGCAGAGGCATTGGAGGTAGCCTTGAATGTGGAGGACTCGTCGGATGGGGCTAGGACGATGATAAACGCGTTCCAGAGCGTTCCGGAACGAGCCCAGAGCGTTCCAGAACGCTCTGAGAAGGCTGCGGCGCCCGATACATCCTCCAGAGCCGCTGGATCGCAGAGATTCTAGACTTGTCATCACCCGATGTCATCTTAATCCTGGTTTCGTCTTACCCTGGGGGGCGCCAACTGTACACCTGCACTGATGCGGATCCTGACCAGGCCAACCCTGGGCACAAGATCGGCGTGCGCATGTGGCCTGCCTTCTGGCTGGGCCGGGCCGGGATGATCGGCCTTCCTGGCCGATCATCTTGGCCGATATGGGGCCCAAGTGGTCGTTCTTTTATTATTATTTTTTTGCTTTCGGCGGAACCCCCCCCCCCCCCCCCCCCCCCGTAGAGAAGTTATGGGCTGATTTTGGCACCTGCTTCAGTCGATCGGACGAACTACGGGGGCCGGCGCCCCCCCCCCCCGTAGAAACTCGAATCGTTGATGTGTGCAACTGTGCGAACTTTTTCCTGCTATTCTTCTGGAACCATAACGAAAGGGCTCAGGGGCGCCGGACCCGATCGCCAAAAAGCATGCCTCCGGTTGGGCCCTCCCCTGTTATGCCACCGACGGCCTTGTGGAATCATGAATATGTGATCCATAGTAATCCTGGCACAGCCCCGCACAATCACGCATAGCCTTGGCGCAGCCCCGCGCAGCCTCTGCGCAGCCTCTGTTAGAATGAGTTTGTTTACCAGTTTCACGCCTCATGAGGCTCAAATGTTGAATTGTAAGCTATGTTGAAAATTTCAAGATGATTCAATCGGAGGTATTGACTACGGGACGAGAGCCGGACCCCCCCCCCCCTCCCCCCCTTGCGCCAAATGACGAAACCCAGCTCACCAAATGGGCCTGGCCAGGATCGATCCCCAGAGATCCGATGTCTTGATTTTTCCTATGCGGGGCCCCCAGAAGTCTCGACCCTTTCCCCAGGACGGGTTTCTCAGCCTGCGTCTTTCTTGACGGCCCCGGAGGCCGAAAACTGCAACAATTTCCGTTCCGATATTTCTCCGGCCCCATGATGCAGGGTCCCCAGAAATCTCGGCCCTTTCCCCAGGGCCCGGCGAGGGCCCCCAGAAGTCGAAAGGTACGACAGATTCGACAGATTTCCGTCCCGATGTTTTATCGACGCGATCATGTCTGGGGATGGGCCTGGCCAGGGTCGATCTTGGTGCGTGGTCAAGCAGTGGCGAAGTGGCGAAGCGTGCTGGCTTGCCCATAGGCCCACCAAGTATTGCTCTACGAACCGTTCGTGTTTTGCACGAAATGTTCTTGGAACATTTCTGGCTGAGATTGTCTTGTTTACATGCATCGGGCTTTGCTCTAAGAGCATGGTTTTTGCCCCTGGGTTCTGAGCACATGCCGTGGTAGCCCTGCAGGAATGCCGGGACGCTGCACGGTGCGCGGTGGAGCGGTGCAGGGAAACGCGCTCGACTGCGCGGGCGTTTGCGCTCAGGCCCCCCGCGCGGGGCCGCGCGTGAGGTCCCTCGCTCCCCGCGCGAGAAGCGTGCCGCCTCGGCGGCCCGCGCGCGGCCACCGCGCCGCGGCCGCCGCTCCCTCGTGCGGCAGCCCCGGGAGGCGGAGGCCCCCCAGAGGCTCCCCCCCAAGAGCTCCCCCTCCAGACATCGGGCGTCTCGAAAAAATCGAGACAGAGGATTTTCATAGTTTTTGGCCTCTCGGGGCCCTCGCTGGGCCTCGGGACCGTCAAAAAACGATTCGGGATGAAAAACCGGTCCCGGGGAAGTGGTCGGGAGGTCGGGGGCCCGCGTCTCGAAAAAATCGAGACGTCGGATGTCTGGGCCCCCAGAGGCCCCTCCCCAAGAGGTCCCCCCAAGAGGCCCCCAAGAAGCCCCCCCAAGAGGCCCCCCAGCAGGCCCCGCAAGAGACCGCCAGGAGGCCCCCAGGGAGGCCCCCAGGAGGCCCCCAGGAGGCCCCCAGCAGGCCCCCCAGGATCACCACCCACCAAACCAGGCCAACCCAACCCGAAGGCCTGGATTTGCCCTCCATTTCCAGTGGTGTGGGGGGGGGGTCGGGGAACATTGAAAACACTCATGGGCCCCGTATCCCCCCCCCCCCCATCCCGAGGTTCGAGTCAAATTCGTGCCTTCGGGTTGGATTGGGGTGGTCTGGTAGGTAGTCACAAGAGGCCCCCAAGAGGCCCCCAAGAGCGCTCCGAAGAGACCCCGAGAAGCATCCCTAAGAATTCTGACCCCCAACCCACGCGGTGACGGGGTGAGGCGGCTCCCATACGGCCCGTCCTGGCAACGGTCAGGATCCGGAGAGCGTTTTCTCCTGTCTCGCGGTGGTGGCCGTCATCGGCCCCATGCAGCCACCCCCCTCCCCAGAGATCCGACGCTCCGAAAAAATTGGAGCAGCGGTTCTGGGCAGTTTTCGGCCTCCGGGGGCCCTCGCCGGGCCTCGGGACCGTCAAAAAAACAACTCAGGACGAAAAACCGGCCCTGCCCTGACTCCGGATCCGCCCTACTTTGGGGAAATTCGTAAGTAGGGCTTGGAATTTCCGCCTTACTTTTCAAGCCCAGCTGATGCCAATTTCCGCCCTACTTTTCTGTTGCTGTTTCCGCCGTACTTCTGTGCATTTCCGCCCTATTTTATGTTGGGTGCAGAAATTTCCGCCCTCTTCTTCGGCTTCTTATAGGTGGATTTCCGACGCCATTTTACGTTGGAAAAAAAACCAAAGTAGGGCGGATTTGGAGTCAAGGCGGGGAAGTGGTCCGGACCTCCGGGGCCCACGCATCGAAAAGCTTGAGCAGCTGGATGGGTCCCCCATCCTCGCGTTGGCCTCCGAGTTGGCTTCGGCAGTTCCCGGACGTTCTCAGACAGCGCCGGCGCGAAACGTGGCGTTGCCGGCCCCCTCCCTTTCCCACTCCCCCCAGTAACCCAGACATCGGGCGTCTCGAAAAAATCGAGACAGAGGTTTTGCATAGTTTTTTGCCTCTCGGGGCCCTCGCCGGGCCTCGGGACCGTCAAAAAACGACTCGGGATGGAAAACCGGTCCCGGGGAAGTGGTCGGGAGGTCGGGGGCCCGCGTCTCGAAAAAATCGAGACGTCGGATGTCTGGGCCCCCAGAGGCCCCTCCCCAGGAGGTCCCCCCAAGAGGCCCCCAAGAAGCCCCCCCAAGAGGCCCCCCAGCAGGCCCCGCAAGAGACCGCCAGGAGGCCCCCCAGGGAGGCCCCCTGGAGGCCCCCAGGAGGCCCCCAGCAGGCCCCCCAGGATCACCACCCACCAAACCAGGCCAACCCAACCCGAAGGCCTGGATTTGCCCTCCATTTCCAGTGGTGGTCGGGGGCCCGCGTCTCGAAAAAATCGAGACGTCGGATGTCTGGGAACGCCCGTTATCGCCCTGGAAAAAAAAAGCACGCTCTCCTGTTGGTTCGCGTCTCGCTCCGCCGGTGCTGGCACACCACGCTCCGGCGCGACAGGCTGTCCACTGCCCGATCCGCAGGCGTCGACGTCCAGAACCTTTTCCAGGATCCCGTCGCCGCGACACGCTGAGCAAAAGCTCTTGACCTTAAGGGGTTGGCCCCGAGGCGATCTCTGATTGTCCTGGGGCCCGAAGCTCAGAGGACGACGAGTTGAGACAACGGTCGTTGGCCTTCGGGGGGGGGCCATCGTCGCCACAGCTGGACGCAGCTCGGAACACTGGTGCGTTTGGACCTGAGGAGGGCTCCCGAAGCCGATCTCAGGCCGCCGCTATCTCAACTCGCCCTCCCTGCGAGCAACGGGCCTGCGGATGCCGCAGGCGGCGCAAGGATCCCAGCCTCGAGCTTCGTTCGACCCGCGATCATCGCATCACGGATCCTTCGTCGCCCCCCTGTGAGGAGGAGGAGGAGGAGGAGGAGGAGGAGGAGGAGGAGGAGGAGGAGGAGGAGGAGGAGGAGGAGGAGGAGGAGGAGGTGGGCGTCCTCCCGAGGATTCGAAGCAGGAGGCCCTGGAGGCGCTGCAGGCGGCCCTCGGGGTCGAGGAGCGGGCCGCGCGCGGGAAGCTAACCCTTCGCCGACGGTGGCCTCTGGTGCGCGGCCGTCGAGCAGCGCGTGTGCTCGGCATTCCGTCCTCGGGGTGCACCAGCGCACGCCAGAGCCTGGCAATCGATGAGGAGGCGCCGACTGGGCGTCGATGAGCGTCGATGCAGCGTCGATTGGCGCTGAGTCGCAGGAGCCAGCAGGACAGCATGGGAGGCCCTCCGTGATTTGCCACGGAGGGTCTCCGGGGGGCGCGGGGGGTGCAAACCCCAGCGCGGGGAGCCGCTGCCCCAGACATCGGCGATGTGCGTTTTCAAAGCGCGGCCCAAGAGGTCCCGACCGCTTCCCCGTGTGCGTGTGCGTGTGTGCGTGTGTGCGTGTGCGTGTGTGCGTGTGTGCGTGCGTGCGTGCGTGCGTGCGTGCGTGCGTGCGTGCGTGCGTGCGTGCGTGCGTGCGTGCGTGCGTGCGTGCGTGCGTGCGTGCGTGCGTGCGTGCGTGCGTGTGTGTGTGTGTGTGTGTGTGTGTGTGGTGTGTGTGTGTGTGTGTGTGTGCGTGTGCGTGTGCGTGTGCGTGTGTGTGTGTGTGTGTGTGTGTGCGTGTACGCGTGTGCGTGTGCGTGTGCGTGTGCGTGTGTGTGTGTGTGCGCGTGTGCGCGTGCGTGTGCGTGTGCGTGTGTGCGTGTGCGTGTGTGCGCGTGCGTGTGTGCGTGTGCGTGTGTGTGGTTGTGTGTGTGCTTTCGTCCCGTAGCCATGCTTGACGGTACCCGGGGCCCGATGACGGACCCCACGAGGTCGAAGTTGAGAAGGCACGCATCGACTGCGAAGCACCACGTCGTCGCAGGGGGAGGTGTGGGATGGCCGCAGCAGGCGCGCGGCCATCGGAGGTCCGTCGCTGTCCGGGGGGTGTCGCTCCCGCGGGCGGCCGCGAGGAGGACGCGCCCGAGGAGCTGCGCGTGGCCAAGCTGAAGACCGCCGAGGCACTGGAGGCGGCCCTGGCTCTCAAGCAGGCTCCGCCCGGCGACGCCGAGCAAGTTTGTGGATTCCAAAACCAGTCTCAAACAGAAGCCTCGAGAAAGAACAACAACACCAATCTCAAGAAACAACACCAATCCAAGTTTGAACTCAAACAACACCAATCTCAAGAAACAGTTGTTTTGCATTCGCAGAGCAGGCTCCGCCTGGCGACGTCGAGCGAGGGGAAGGTGCGGAGGAGTCGGCGCAGGCGGCCTCGCAGGCGCAGCGGGCAGCCGCGCGCGAGCAGGATGCGCCCAGCGGGGCGGCGGGCGAAGAGAGTCTGGAGGAGGCGCAGGGGCTTCGCCACGCGCGAGAAAGAGGAGGAGGAGGAGGAGGAGGAGGAGGAGGAGGAGGAGGAGGAGGAGGAGGAGGAGGGAGGAGGGAGGAGGGAGGAGGGGAGGAGGGGAAGGAGAGGAGGAGGAGGAGGAGGGGAGGAGGAGGTGCGGAGGAGGAGGAGGAGGAGGAGGAGGAGGAGGGGGGGGTCGAGGGTCGAGGTTTTGGGGAGCCTCGCGGTCCTTGTTGGGCCTCCTGGAGCGTCCTCGTCGCCAGGGCCAGCTTCGCACCGAAAAACCCTGGACGCTGCGCATACCCTCGGCATCCCACCCAGAAGTGATGCAGACCAGCTGTCAGGAGGAGGGTGGTAGATACGCAGATAGTGACTAGGGGGACCAGACAATGACATAAACATAAAAAACTCGGAGGCCCGCGCCGCGGATTTCTCGGATCGGCGCTGGGGCCCCCAGGCGGCGCCTCCAGCGCCGCCCTTGGCGCGCTCCGCGCGCCAGGGAGGGGGGTCCAGCGCGGATCCAAGAAATCCGCGGCGCGGACCTCAGAGTTTTTATGTTTATGTCACGTTTCGTTCCCCCAGATACGCAGATAGTGAAGCAAAGAGGCCAGCAATCTAATCTCTGGGTGCCTCTTAGAGCCATCTTGGAGCTCGCTCGGCCCCTTGGGGAATCGTAAGGGCGATCTTGGGCTCTCTTGGGGTCCTCTTCGAGGCCTTGCGGGCCCTTTTGGGGCCGTCTTGGAGGCCATCGAAAACAGTATAGGGCGGCACGAATTAAGGCCTAATCCCATCGGAAGTGAAAAGGCGAGAAGGACAAAATCATTGAACCCATCTTGGCCCCAAAGCCTCCCAAGGATGCCCCCGAGAGGCCTAAATCGTTCAAACTCTGCAAGTGTGTGAGTGATTCTGGCTCGAAGCTGAGGGGCCGCACTCATCAGCCTCCCGCGTCTTGTCGTAGCCTGATAATCATCTTGTGGGGCCCTCTTGGGGCGCTTTTGGATACCTCTGGGATTGTCTTGGAGCCTTTAGGGGCCCCCCTCCTGGGGCTGCCTCAGGGGGGCTTGGAGTCATCCTGAGCTCTCGGAAGCCCGTCAGGAGCGAAAAGGCGAGAAGGCATACACACACTTGAACATTTGTAGGTTGTTGGATGATTTGGGCCTCTCGGGGGTCTCATTAGCAGGCTCTGTGCCCATACCTGGGCCCGTCTCGTGGCGGTGCTGCGGCCTCCTGGGTCTTGGGGACATCTTGGAGGCCATGCCGTGTCACATTGGATGCCATCTTGGTCTACATCTGGGGCCTTCCTGGAGCCATATTTGACCCCTCGCTCCCCCCCGCCCTCCGTCCAGACCCAGGGGAGGGACTTCCCGAACAGGGGGGACTTACGTGACAGGCCGTGCGGGTCCTGTCGGTCCCTGGGCGCGACGGGACTCCCCTGGGCCCCCAGGACCGCCACGAGGCGACACTGTACGAAGAGCCAGTCCCAGGGGGTCCCAAGGAGCCCAGGACTGGTTCCCCGCAGACCCTGGCGTGGCAAAAGGGCCGTGACGTCACGTGTTGCATGGTTGTCGGCCTTCGGAGGCAGTTCCACGGCTCCAGGACCGTCAAGGAGCGGCTCAGAATGAAAAGCCGGCCCCAGGGAAATGGTCGGGATCCAGGCCCGCCTCGCGAACATCACAAAACTCTGAGGAGGGCATTGCCCGCAGGGCCCTTCTGGCCCACGGCACTCCTCCTCCTCATCCTCCTCCTCCTCCTCCTCCTCCTCCTCCTCCTCCTCCTCCTCCTCCTCCTCCCTCTCCTCCTCCTCCTCCTCCTCCTCCTCCTCCCTCTCTCCTCCTCCTCCTCCTCCTCCTCCTCCTCCTCCTCCTCCTCCTCCTCCTCCTCATCCTCCCTCTCCCTCTCCCTCCCTCTCCCTCTCCCTCTCCCTCTCCCCTCCTCTCCTCCTCCTCCTCTCCTCCTCCTCCTCCTCCTCCTCCTCCTCCTCCTCCTCCTCCTCCTCCTCCTCCTCCTCCTCCTCCTCCTCCTCCTCCTCCTCCTCCTCGTCCTCCCCTCCCTCCTCCTCCTCCCCCTCCTTCTCCGCATATCATCTTTCTTCCTAGGCTGAAGCGCTCGAGGTGCAGAGCGTGAAGCAAAAGGCCGTGGACGCACTGGAGGCGGCCCTGAACGCCGAGCAGCACACGAACCACAGTGGCGAGGTGGCGTCGGGGCCCCAAAGCTTTTGGCAGGCTCGCTCCGTGAGTGCTCTGTGCGCCCGGTCTGTCTCCTCCTCCTCCTCCTCCTCCTCCTCCTCCTCCTCCTCCTCCGCCTCCGCCTCCGCCTCCGCCTCCGCTCCGCCTCCGCCTCCGCCTCCGCCTCCGCCTCCGCCTCCGCCTCCGCCTCCTCCTCCTCCTCCTCCTCCTCCTCCTCCTCCTCCTCCTCCTCCTCCTCCTCCCTCCTCCCTCAGCACGTCCCCAGGCTTCCGAAGGACCAGCTTGTTCAATCCCGGCGTTTTCGCCCAATGTCGCCTTCTGTCGGGGGCGGAAAAGAGGGGGGTGATGACTAGGGGGGGGGCGGATATCATGGCGGGGGCCATGATATTTCCCCAGATTTCATGGCGCCTCTTCTTATTTCGTTACGTCCCTGGCCTCCCCGCTGGGCCGCGCACATGCCGCTGGTCATGATTTGCGCCCCCCCCCCTCTTTGACGCCCCCCTCTTTGCCGCTCCCGATTCTGGGGGCCGCTTCGTGGCACTGGGACAGTCGAACATGCATCCGGGACGAAGGCCCTGCCCCTGGGGAAGAGGGTCGGACATCTTGGGCCGCGGATTAACCAACATCGTCGGATGTCTGGGTCTCCAGATTGTCTGTGGTGAGGCGTCTGGTTGACTTTGCTGCAGGCGTCCGAGCGGACTGTTGTGCTGCTCGCGGGGGGGGGGGGGAGGGGGTGCCACGTCCAGGGGCCGCACCATGGTCGGCATCACTAGTCCTACCCCTATGTGCTTGCTCAGTCCTCCCGCTTCTCTCGCCATGAGGGGGGGAAAGGGGTCAAGGCAGGGTAAGTGCCAGGGGGTGAAGACGAGGATGAGGCGGAGGAGAAGAGGAGGAGAAAGAGGATAATGATAAGAAGGAGCAAAAGGGGTGAGGAGGAGGAGGAGGAGGAGGAGGAGGAGGAGGAGGAGGAGAAGCAACAAGCAACAAAAAGAGGAGGACGAGGAGGAGGAGCAAGGAGCAAGGAGGAGGAGGAGGAGGAGGAGGAGGAGGAGGACGATCAGGAGAAGGAGGAGGAGGAGGAGGAGGAGGAGGAGGAGGAGCAAGGAGCAAGGAGCAAGGAGCAAGGAGCAAGGAGCAAGGAGCAAGGAGCACGGTGGGGTGGGGGGCGGAAAGAGGGGAGGGAGGGAGGGACGGAAGAGAGGGAGAAGGAGGATGGAGGATGGAGGGGAGGGGAGGGGAGGAGCTCCCCCTTCCTTCGCCCCCCTCTGCTTCCGGGGCCACAGAATGGCTTCGTTGCCTGTCTGGCGTCGCTCGTTGCAGCAGCTCGACCCTATGCTGCGACCTGCACGTTGACTGCGGTCCACGCTGCCGTTGACTGCGCGGGGGTGCGCACGTTGCCCCTCCATCTGCGGCCCATGCTGCCGTGCTGCCCCGCCTCTGGCCCGCCGGCGACGCGCCCCGTGGCCGACCCCCCGCGCTGCGTGCCCCGTGCGAGCCCCACCCGCTGGCGCCAGCAGGTGCCCCCCCGGGAAGCTGCGCATCTCCCGGTGGGCAGCGGGGGACCCCGAGCAGCTGCGGGGCCTCGCGGGGCCCTCAAAGGTCGGCGGAGGGTGGGGCCCCAGATTGAGTCTTCTGGGGCACGATTTCTCATCGCACGTGTGTGCGCGAGGCACATCAGACAAGAAACCAGGCTGCGGGCAGATTCCCCAGGGAAGTGTCTAATCTCCCGACGGCGCTGGGGACCCACAGGAGCCCGGAACGCCTCGGGAAGCTCAAAGACCGGCGATCGGTGCGTTTCGAAGGTCCTGACATCAGGGATCTCTTCGCGCGCATCTGCTGCAGGAAGGCGTGGCTGCATCTGCGCCCGTGCGTGGCCCGTGCGTGTGCGTTGTGCGTGCGCGCGCTGTGAACGCATGCTGCGTGCTCCCACTTGAGATTGTACGCGCAAGTGCCTGCCCACCACGGCGTCGGGGGAATCACTTGCGCAAGCCTTCACGAATCATCAGAATCCTTCGAGAATTCGTCCGGAGGCTGAGCATATCAGGAATCCTCTGGGTTCCGAATGACTCCTTGAGGAACCCTCAGAAAACCGCAGGAAGTCCAAGTAGCCCCTCGTGACTCCTCGGGAAGCCTGGGGAATCCTTGAGGAGTCCTCACGGAGCCCTTAGGAAACTCAGGAATCCCTGAAGAATCCATCGGGAATCCTGTTGGGGATCCTCAGAGAATGCTTGTCCACAAGGAGACCCGCCCTCGACGCCCCCGGGGCGACCCACATCCACTCCCACAGGGGAGGGGGGCATTCCCCACTCCCACATCGGGGGGAGGGGTACGGGTTGTCGGCGACACCTCGTGCGACCAGTAGAAGCGCTCAAGGATCTTTGGGCGGGGGTCGTGCCACCGCGCGCCGCTGACGTCTCTCTGCTTCTATATATGTGTACACGCTGTATACACACGTGTATGTACAGGTATGTGGGTGTGTGCGCGCGGCTGTGTTCCAGTCTAGGCAGGAGAGGAGCTTGGAAGATGCCATGCAGGTAGCGATGATGGCGCCTGAGGAAGCTTCAAGCGGCGAGGAAAAGGCAAAGAAGGCAACCGCGGAGGCGCCAGAGGCAGCCTTGGCTTCCAAACCAATAGAGGAAGATGATCTGGAGGATGCTGAAGCCCAGAACCTCAAGCAGGCTCCGCCCAGCATCGTCGGGGACGAGCTCGAAGATATAAGGAAGGCAGCCACTGAGGCGTTGGAGGCGGCCTTCACTCCAGATTTGAACGTCGAGCAGGCCCCATCTGGAGTCGCCGAGGGAGGGCAGGAGCCGTTGAAAGAGGACGAGAACCTCGAGCAAGCCACATCCAGCGACGACGTGCAGGCGAGCGAGGTGGAGGACGTAAAGCTGAAGGCCGTGGAAGCGCTGGAAGCAGCCCTCCAGCTTGACCACCTTCCGTCTGACGACACCGACGAGGAGTCCGCAGGGATGCCCGCCCACGGGCCGTCGATGCAGAGTGGCCTCGCTCACGGTGCTGCCAAGCGCGGAGCAGGTCGCCACCTCCCCGCGCCCCTGGTGGGGGGTCCGGCGGACAGCCGTGCCGCGCGCAGCTCCAGCCACAGACCTCGCCCCGTCCCCGGTCGCTGCCACGCGCGCGCAGGCATCGCAGTTTTCCTGTGCCCCGAGGCCGCGCGAGAGAGCGCCGCGCCAGGCAGGCCGAGGCAGACGTCGCCCCGCCAGGTGCTGCCGTGCGCAGAGCTGCCCCCGCCCTCCCCGGCTCCTGCGGGGTCCAGCGGGCGACTGCCGCGCCACGCGGATCAGAGTGCGCCTCGGCCCGTATGGGTGCGCAGGCGCACGCCTGCCGCCATGGTGCTGCGCCCTCGCAGGTGTCCATGCGCAGATTCGGCTGGACCTCGCCCCCTGCTGGGTGCGGCCGAACGCTCAGGTGTCGCGGCTCTCCCCGTGCCCCTGGGGGGTCCAGCGGAGTGCCGCGCCACGCAGGTCCAAACAAACCGCCCCCCCTCCTCGGGGGTGTTGCCAGGCATTAACCTGTCCCCTCTCTTGCCTGCTCCCTTGGGGTGTCCAGCGGAGGGTCGCGCAACAGGCAGACCCAATCATGACCTCAACCCCCCTGGGAGCTGTCAAGCGTACAAGCTTCGCCTCTTGCATGCGCTTCCAGGAGTTCCAGCGGATCTGCGTGCCACGTAGGTCCAGCTAGAACTCGTCCCCCGTGTTGCCACACGCGCACGCATCGTCACTTCCCCTGCGCTTCGAGTGGGATCCAGCGCACTGCCCCGCCACGCAGGTCAGCACTGGGACTCGCCCCCTTTCCGCGGGTGGCAGCAGACGCGCAACTGCCGCCGCATCCCAACGCCTCTGAGAGGTGCTGCCGAGCTCCGCGCAAGGCCGATGCATGCAGATCTCGCCCCCGCCTCGAGTGTTGCCCCGCGTGCAGCCGGCGCCACTCTCGCAGGGCGGCCGCCGAGGTGCCGCGCCACAACGCAGGTCCAATGTCAGGGGACCTCGCCCCCGTCCTCACGGTGTCGCCAAATTCGGGGGAGCGTAAGACCCGGGTTTGCCAGGACTCGGGTTCGCCATCGTTTTTTTGACGACCGCGCCTCGGATTTTGACGAGGAGGAGTTTCGTGGGATGTCTGCAGCGGGAGGCCTCGTCAAAATGCAGGCTCGGCCTCGTCATTTTTTTGACGACCTCGTCGGGGATTTCCGAGTCCCCCGTACCCGGGTCTTACGTCTCCCCGACAAATGCACAGGCGTCGCCACCGTCCTGCTCCCCCAGGGGGTGGTCCAGCGGACGGCTGCGCCGCGCAGGTCCCACCAGGCTTCGCTGCTGCAGGTGCCGCCAGACGTGGAGGGCCACAACCTCATGGGGCCCATGAGGGGTCGAGCGCAGCCCCCCCTGGGAGGCGGAGGAGGAGGAGGAGAAGGAGGAGGAGGAGGAGGACGAGGAGGAGGAGGAGGAGGAGGAGGAGGATCACACGCCTACTTCATAAGCCGCGGGATGGGGGACAGACCTTCTCGTGCGCCTTGCACAGCACAGTAAATGCCAGACGCACAGGTACTACATGAGACATTGGCACACCTTGTGACCACACATCTCTCACACTTGCTTACTGGTTCGCACATAGGAGCTCACTTCGTATGCTTTTTGGGAACAGTTGGAGACAGCTTCGCTCTTGTGACATTGCGCATGCGACGACCAGGAGTCTTCAATACTGAGCTGTTATTTGACATGGGCCCCACATAGTTGTCACAAGGAGCATCTGTCTTACGAGCCCCAGCGCTACGTAGCATACACCCACGCCGCCGACCAGAACAAGAACACTCTCGTGTGCCTGCACCATACCTGGAACGGGAGCCGAATCATTGATCCAGGCACAGCAATACACGTCTACAGCGAGCCTGCCAGTCACAATCTCAAGCTTCCCATTCTTGCCGACAGAGGGAACACAGTGTCGGTCAGATCTTACTTGTTTGCATTCCCATGTCATTGTTGGTCCCACTGATGTTGACGACACACATGGGCACCGTTGTTAAAAAAGGCACCAACCAGTATACATTCATACGCCGCGGCCTACAGATTGGAAACGTTCACAGCCACACACCGCGCCTCGGGACCCTTCACACGCCTACGGACCAAGCAGCGGAACTACGGACAGACCTTCTCATACGCCTTATACATCACATTCTTCGCGTGCACATACGGTTTTGCCACACGTTCGTATTGCTATTGTGATATTTGTCAACGAACAGTCGAGGACCATCGAATCTTGCCAATGCTTTCGGCCATGCTGACTTCTGCGTATCAAGCCATCGCCCGCTTTGGCTCCAACCTTGGTACCACACGCTTTCTGTCATACGCGCACTGTCTAGCACTACGGCGCGCAGCACAAACACACACACGAACGCACGCACGCACGCACGCACTCACGCACGCACCCACACACACACACACACGCAAGCCACCACGACAAGCACACGCCCGTACATGCACCGCCCTTGGCATGGAACCGTAAGGCATACCTCAGGTAGGGACACAAACTGCACACCAGCATACAATCCCGACAGCACCGACCGACCCCAGCACACAACACCATCAATACCACCAGCGACACGGCATCACCAACCTGCCTCATACCCTGCCTGGGAGCCCGAAGGGCATGCCCAGGAGAGGGGTTGGGCCAAGACCCGAGGCACATGTGAAGTACCTGCATGTCAACACCTTGTGGCATTCTGGTACACAGGTACTGGGCATGTACAGTTACCAGGCTCAAATTAGGTTACACAGAGTGCATTTCAGCGATTACACATCTCCTCCTTGCGTTGGCTTGTCATAATAATTCCCGCTGGGACCACGATGTACGACGGATGGAGTTTCTCACGCAAGGTTGTTCTCTCCTCTTCTTATATGCCGTAGCAGCCCGGCTCAAACAAACGATCCGTGCAACGTTGGCAATTATCATTCTACTTGGCGCCATGCAGGCCCTCGGAAGCAGACGCATATGCCGTGCATGTCGGCCAGTGGGCAAAGGCACTAGATCCACGCGCCTCTTTCCATAGGCCATACGCATGACTTACGCGGAGAAGTCGGACGACCAGCGAACAAAAGAAATGAATATCAGCTAGTGAACAGCAGTACCGACAATCCACCGAGCACGACGAAGATGGCGGCGACGACGACCTACCACCACTACTCAAGACACGACGCAGAGAACAACAACAAGAGCTGTCGCGCACCGCGACGCCCACAACACGACCCAGACTTAGCACAAGTAATACGGGCGCAAGTACAACCCAACAGCCAGGCCATAACAAACGACACAGGGATCGACAAGTACAGCGCATACATCTCGCTGCGCCTGGGGTACGAGTACATACCAGTGCCTACTGCCGAAGGGTGGGCACGCACCGAGATGCAGACACGCATTGCAATAGCCTGCCTCGCAGATGTCAACAGACAGCACGTCACGCTACTACAACAGCGACTCCAACAAGACCTGGACGGTTGGAAGACATTCTCCCCGCATGCCGACATCTCAACGCACTGGTCATAGACACTAGCCTGCATGCCCTACTACAGAAAGCCCGACTACCGACAGGACAAGCAGCCATTCAACGACAACAAAGAGACAACACGAAGTACGAGGGCGGCCGCTCATGCACCTCACTTAGGACCCACTGAGCAGCGACATCGACAACGGCATGGCAAGACTAAGGCATGCCTACTTCAACGAAGAAGGCACCGAGAAGAGCCTCAACTATACGCTCTACAATATAAGCTGCCAACAAAAACAGTTGGCACGAGTTCCATGTAGACGAAGACAACGGCACCCGCGCCAAGTTCCAACGCGACGACGACCGCGCATTTCTCAGTTCCATGACCGGTCCGCGCCACATTGTCACTTCGGGCTCAGAGCTGGACTCGCTGACCAACTATCTATCTTGCAGACGCACTCCGCACCTCACGGGCGTCGACGCTACACCCGCCCTGGGCCGCGTGCGTTGTGGACGAACAGAGAAGGTGCGCGGCGCCGCCAATCGCGCGCCCACAACCAGACTACTTGGAGCTACAAGGCCCATCAGAACACGTGTGTGTTCTACTTAACCAGTGGACTGGCACGGCACAGGGCACCGCTGTTAAAAAGGCACCAACCAGTATACATTCATACGCCGCGGCCTACAGATTGGAGACGTTCACAGCCACGCACCGCGCCTCGGGACCCTTCACACGCCTACGGACCAAGCAGCGGAACTACGGACAGACCTTCTCATACGCCTTACACGTCACATTCTGCGCGTGCACATGCGGTTTTGCCACGCGTTCGTATTGCTATTGTGATATTTGTCAACGAACAGTCGAGGACCATCGAATCTTGCCAATGCTTTCGGCCATGCTGACTTCTGCGTGTCAAGCCGTCGCCCGCTTTGGCTCCAACCATGACGCCGCGCGCTTTCTGTCATGCGCGCACTGTCTAGCACTACGGCGCGCAGCACAAACGCACGCATTCACGAACGCACGCGCGCACGCGCGCACGCACGTACGCACGCACGCACGCACGCACCCACACACACACACGCAAGCCACCACGACAAGCACATGCCCGTACATGCACCGCCCTTGGCATGGGAGCCGTAAGGCATACCTCAGGTAGGGGCACGAACTGCACGCCAGCATACAATCCCGACAGCACCGACCGACCCCAGCACACAACACCATCAATACCACCAGAGACACGGCATCACCAACCTGCCTCATACCCTGCCTGGGAGCCCGAAGGGCATGCCCAGGAGAGGGGTTGGGCCAAGACCCGAGGCACATGTGAAGTACCTGCATGTCAACACCTTGTGGCATTCTGGTACACAGGTACTGGACATGTACAGTTATCAGGCTCAAATTAGGTTACGCAGAGTGCATTTCAGCGATTGCACATCTCCTCCCTGCGTTGGCTTATCATAGTA